GGGAAAAGAAATCTGGCTCCCAATATACATTCACTTAATTGTTTCTTGAATTAAACGTGTCTTCATCCAGCCCTCAAAAGATACTGCACCCTTCCTTGTGTAGTTGTTGATGGGGCTGCCAGCTGATGAGAGGTATTTCAGGGTTCTGCAGGTCTTCCTCCTCATCATCCAGATGTTTATTCTGGGTACCAGAGTGCATAACAGTGACATGACATCTCCCGTGTGGTGCCAAGTGGAACATTAACAATTTGTGTTGAGTCTGGTATTCTAGTCATGGCACTTAAGCCTCATTCAAGATGATGTGACAAGAGGAAGAGACTGTAATGGGACAGCCCCACTGTGCATTGAAGAAAGACAAGGGGCTCAAGAAGTAAATAAATGTGGCAAGCTATTGGGCTGCATTGGGCTTCCCCTGTGGCTCAGCAGTGCAGGAGCTGCAGTAGACATGGATTCCATCCTTGGGTCAGGAAGATCCCCTGGAGGAGGGCATAGCAACCCACTCCGGTTTACTTGCCTGGAGAATCCCGTGGAAAGAGGAGCCTGGCAGGCTACAGTCCATCATAAGGTCGCAGAGTCAGGCATGACTGAAGTGACTTAGCAGCAGCATTGGGCTACATCAGAGCAGCTAAGGGCAGGGAATGTCAGCCCTTAAACCGTTTCTCTCACATTGTGGTTGATTATAGAAGAGCTCTGAAGGGGCTGTACGGGGAAACTAGAGTAGGGAATACTCTGAGCATGAAGGATGTGAACTGACATTCCACTGCCACCTCCTGAGTCTACAGCAGCATCGCGCCCCCCGCCCTGCTGCTGTCCTGAGAGCCTCACCTGCAGGCTCCTCGCCCCCTGAACTCCCATCAGCATCTTCCCCTGGGGAACTGGACTCTATTTTCCATAAGTTCTCAGCACTGAGGGCCTGCTGAAACAGACTGGTCAGCCAGCACTGTGAGAGGGAAACCAACTTGGCCTGGGATCTCTGGGTGTTCCTAAACTCCACAGCTGAGCTCTCGTGGCCTGTCCAGGGTCAGGCCAGATATGACATGTCCATGTTGCCAACAGCAGCACTGTCTGTAGCTGCTTGGTTTTTTCCAGCTCTACCTCGTGCTGGGTCTTGGCTCTTCTTTCATATCCTCACTGGTTCATTGCTGAGAGGCTACCGTGCGTCACCGCCAAGCCCATCCAACATAGCTCTTTTTCCTTCAGCATTTATAGTATTTCAAGAGAAAAAAGACAAGATATGGTTGTGGGGCCAGTGAAATAATCTGTTTTACCTTTTGTTTCCCCAGAGGAAGGATGATACAGTCCAGTGAGGAGAAAGTAGATGATAAAAATATTGTGAAGAAGCTTAGAATCCCAGAGTAATAAAGAATGAAGAAATGTAGATAGCAGAGTACAAGGAATTAGAAAAGCAGTCATAGTTGAGTCGAGAATTATTATGAAGATAGGAGGAAATGAATTCAGGCTAGGAAAAGAAGAAAAATAGGGGACAGAAAATTAGAGTTGAGAGGATGGAGAAATTTTTTTAAGCAACCCCTAATCCCACAGTTACAGTCATAATGATGTGGACAATTTAAAGTCATTATATTTTATTTACTATTTAATACAATTTTCATAATAGGGTAAAAGTTCCCAAAAGCCCAGCAATGCTACTGTGAAAATCCCATTAATTTGCAAGTATCTTGCAAAATTTTACTGTTTAGCTAGTAAGGCTGTCTACTTACTAACTGCAGAAGTGGACTGTTAGGGTGAATTTCAACAGGAGTTTTGAGGTAGTGAGTGTATCAAAAGCCAAAGAAGCTCTTAAGAAATAGAAGAAGGAAATAAAAAGCCTAAAATGAATCAAGTGGGCACCAGGCTATTAATTGTATAACAAAGTGCATTAAATTTGTTGAGTCCAAAAGTCAAAACACTATGTATCTGCTCATTGCACTAAATTATTTATACCAATAAATCATAATCAACGAAACAGCCAGATCTTAATGATGAGTTTTCAGGTTCTTTGGAGATGCCATCGTTGCCATGGCTACCTAGATGCCACTAAGATAACCCTGATCATCTTTATTCTATAACTGATGACATTTCAGAAGTGTTTTTATCTGACTAGGAACACAGTTATAGGAAGCACCATCATTTTAAATTAATTTTGTAGTGATTGATTTTCTTCACATTAAGGAATAAAGAGTTTTTAAATTTTTTTAATTAATCAATTTATTTTAATTGGAGGATAATTTACAACATTGTGGTGGTTTTTGTGATACATTGACATGAATCAGCCATGGGTGTACATGTGTCCCCCATCTCAAACTCCTCTACCACCTCCCTCTCCACCCCCTCCCTCAGGGTTGTCCCAGTGCACCAGCTTTGAGTGCCCTGTTTCATGCATCAAACTTGGACTGGTCATCTGTTTCATATATGGTAATATACATGTTTCAATGCTATTCTCTCAAATCATTCCACCCTCACCGTCTCCCACAGAGTCTGTTCTTTATATCTGTGCCTCTTTTTCTGTCTTACATATAGGGTCATCGTTACCATCTTTCTAAATGCCATATGCATGTGTTAATATACTGTATTGGTGTTTTTCTTTCTAACTTACTTCATTCTGTATAATAGGCTCCAGTTTCATCTGCCTCATTAGAACTGATTCAAATGTGTTCTTTTAAATAGCTGAGTAATACTCCATTGTCTATATGTACCATAACTTTCTTATCCATTCATCTGCCAATGAACATCTAGGTTGTTTCCATGTCCTGGCTATTGTAAACAGTGCTGCAGTGAACATTGGGGTACATGTGTCTCTTTCAATTCTGTTTTCCTCGGTGTGTATGCCTGGCAGTGGGATTGCTGGGTCAATTGTCAGTTCTATTTCCAGTTTTTAAATTCTTTGAATAGTATAGCAAAGTGATATGTGTACAGTAGGAAACTTTTTAAAAAGAAATTTTTATTTTATGAAAAATGCAGTTGTGTATATTCTCCCAGCTTTCTTAAGATATAATTGGCATATAACTGTGTAAGTTTAAGATGTACAATGTGTTAATTTTATACACTTACATATTTCAAAATAATTACCACTGTTGACTTTAAAAACTGCACAATGTAAGAGTGGCAAGTTAAGTTTTATTTGGGGCAATGTGAAGACTGCAGCCCAGGAGCCAGCACATCAAATAGCTCTGAGAAACTGCTCCAAAGAGGTAAGGGGGAAGGACAGTATATATGCGATTTTGGTAAAGTACATGCAATCAAGCACGTTTATATTTTAGGAAGTTTCTGCTGGTCTTGTGAAGCTTCTGCTAGTCACGGGAAACAGTCATCACCCTGAAGGATTTAGTGCTGTTTTAGATATGAGGAGATACAAGAATTGAGCTCATAAAATCAGCACCTGAGAATATCTAACTGTCTGAAGGCCAGTCCTGCCAGATTTCCCAGAGCACAGAGTGCCTCATTTCTGCTCTCCATCCTCCTGAACTCCTTTAGGAAGTGTTGGAGGTCAGCAGTTGCAGCAGCCCATGATTTAATCCTTGTAGAGATAGATGGCAAGCACTGGTAGCAAGTGTCAATTTGTGGTTCACACACCATAGTGTTATCATGAATAATGCTATTCACAGTTCATCTTTGTCAGTAATGCTGCAATGAACATGGCAATGCAGGTTTCTCTTTGAGGCCCTGACTTTATTTCCTTTGGATATGCCCAGGAGTGGGATTGCTGGATCATATAGTAGTTCTATTTTTAATTCTTTGAGGAGCCTCCATTCTGTTTTCCATATTGGCTACACCAATACTTACATCCTCACCAACAATGCCCAAGGGTTCCCTTTTTCCGATATTCTAGCCAGTACGTGTACTTTCTTGTGCTTTTGATGATAACCATGCTTCCCTGGTAGCTCAGCTGGTAAAGAATCCGCCTGCAATGCAGGAGACTCTGGATCAATTCCTGGGTTGGGAGGATCCGCTGGGGAAGGGATAGGCTACTTGCTCCAGTATACTTGGGCTTCCCTTGTGGCTCAGCTGATAAAGAATCTGCCCGCAATGTGGGAGACCTGGGTTCGATCCCTGGGTTGGTAAGACCCCTGGAGAAGGGAAAGGCTACCCACTCCAGTTTTCTGGCCTGGAGAACTCCGTGGACTGTACAGTCCATGAGGTCACAAAGAGTTGGACAAGGCTGAGAAACTTTTACTTTCACATATTCTAATTGGTGTGAGTGATATCTTCCTGTGGTTTTGATTTGCATTTCCCTGATGATTAGTAATGTTGAACATCTTTTCATGTACCTGCTGGACATCTTTTCATGTACCTCCTGACCATTTGTAGTTCTTCTTTAAAAAATTGTCTGTTCAATTCCTCTGCCTATGTTTTTTTTTCTCCTCTGCCTGTTTTACTCACATTGCTTAGTGTTGTTTATGTTTTTTGTTTCATTTCTTTTTTGCTATGGAGTTATTAATATTTAAATTCTTTATGTATTTTGAATATTAACCCCTTATCAGATATATATGATTTGCAAATATTTTCTCCCATTTGGTAGACTGCCTTTTTATTTTGTTGTGGTTTTCTTTACTGTGCAGATTTTTGGTTTGATCTAGTCCTACCTGTTTAATTTGTTTTTGTTACTTTCGCTTTTGGTTCAAATATTTAAAAAAAAAAATGTCATTGCCAAGACTGGTGTCAAAAATCTTTTCCCCTATGTTTTCTTCTAGGAGTTTGATGATTTCATGTCTTATGTTCAAGTCTTTATTTTGAGTTGATTCTTGTATATGGTGTAGGATAGCGGTTATACACATTTTTTAAAAATGTATATTTTTAAACTTCAAAAAGTGTGCTTCCTTGGGGTATCAGATCATCATTATCATCCCTACCTGTAGGGGTGGAGTGGCTTTAAAAAATTCTCTATTCTCTCAACTCTTAATTTGTCCCCTGCTTTTCTTTTCTTCTTTCATCTCACAAATCAGAATTCTTTGGCATTGAGTCAGTTGCCTAAAATCATAGTGTATCACTGCAACAAGAATCCCTTGGATTTTGTTTGTTTATTTTACTTTAAAAGAGGTCTAGTCTGACTTGTATACTTCTGCTGGCATACCCAGTGGGTCAGTGAGGTTCCCTAGGATCTTAGTCAGTCCATAGCCAGCCATTCTGTGACTCAAACAGGACCTGAAAGAGATTAATAATCAGGTAGTCAGGCACTGTGCTAGATCCTGGATGTATTCCTTAAAAGGCAAGTTCAATCAAATGTCCAACTCTTTGTGACCCCATGAACTGCAGCACACTAGGCTTCCCTGTCCATCCCCAATTCCCAGAGCTTGTTCAAGGTAATGTCCATCGAGTCAGTAGTGCCATCCAACCATCTCATCCTCTGTCATCCCCTTCTCCTTCTGCCTTCAATCTTTCCTAACATCAGGGTCTTTTCCAATGAGTCAGTTCTTTGCATCAGGTGGCCAAAGTATTGGAGATTCAACTTCAGCTCAGTCCTTCCAATGAATATTCAGCACTGATTTCCTTTAGGATGGACTGGTTTGACCTCATGCAGTCCAAGGAACTCTCAGGAGTCTTCTCTAAACCACTGCTCAAAATCAGTTCTTCAGCGCTCAGCTTTCTTTATGGTCCAGCTCTCACATCCATACATGATTACTGGAAAAAACAGAGCTTTGACCAGACAGACCTTTGTCAGCAAAGTCATGCCTCTGCTTTTTAATACACTGTCTACCTTGGTCATAGCTTTTCTTCCAAGCAGCAAGTGTCTTTTAATTTCAAGACTGCAGTCACCATCTACAGTGATTTTTGGTACCCAAGAAAATAAAATCTGTCACTGTTTTCATTGTTTCCCCATCTATTTGTCATGAATTGATGAGACCGGATGCCATGATTATTTGTTTTTTGAATGTTGAATTTTAAGCCAGCTTTTTCACTCTCTTTCACTTTCATAAGAGGCTCTTTAGTTCCTCTTCACTTTCTGCCATAAGGGTGGTGTCTTCTGCATGTCTGAGGTTATGATATTTCTCCCAGCAGTTGATTCCAGCTTGTGTTTCATTCAGACCAGCATTTTACATGGTGTACTCTGCATTTAAGTTAAATAAGCAGGGTGATAATATACAGCTTTGTCATACTCCTTTCCCATTAAAGGCAAACAAAATCTCAAAAATCTTATGCTCCCTGAGAGTCAGATGAAAGTTACCCTTTCTTAGAACGAATTTTCTTTGACATTCACTAAGCACCTGTTATGATGGCACTGCAGAGGATGTACCCTAATAAAGACAGGGTCTCTTCTCTTTGAAGGAATTTTATACAGCCAACCAACCAACCAATAGTTATTGTTTTAATCAGTGTAGGTTGTCTGCTGTAACAAAACAACTCCAAGATCACAGTGACCTAGCCCAATGAAGATTTGTCTTTCACTTACCTGAAGTTCCCAAGTAGATGCTTCTGGTTGGGTGGCTTTCCTCCAAGCTTTGATCAGGAACCCAGGTTTTTTTCTATTTCATGATCCTATTATCTTCATTGCTGGCTTCCAAGACCATCACAGATGGGAGGTAGATATTGTCTACTTGTCCTCCTCTGACTAGAGGTAATACACATGAATTTCTGTGCCTATTCCATTAGCTTCATTTAGTCATATGGCCCCATCTAGATGCAAGGGCACTGGGAAATGCTTGCAGCCACTTCCCAGAAACCAGTAATACACTGTGGGAGGGAAACATGAATCTTGGGTAGTCAACTAGTCACCTCTGTGTTTCTGACTCTACACTTAAAACTCTAGGTGGAAAGTTAACTAATGAAACAAGACAACCTGTCAAGCACTCGAGTCTTCTGACAGCCTGTAATATTGAGTAAAATAAAGGCCATAAGCATGGTTTTGAGGAATAGTTAGTTCTAACCCCTGTTGCTATATAACTCCTGCTGCATTGTTTCATAGCAGTTTTCTATTATGGAGTACTGTTACCATCACTGCCATCATCTGTTGATGTGAGTGCCCTTGAAATAAATGAGTGAGTGACCAGAACCACATTAATTTCAGGTTTTGATAGCCTCATGGGAGTAAATATTGCTGTTCACAGATTGAGAAGGATGAAAGGAAAGTGAAACATGATTCATTTCAGCTCCCTGTTATGGTAGTATTAAAAAAGCTGAAAGAGTCTGGGTGTGTGAGATGAATGGAAACAGGGCCATTATCTAAGGTTATTCAGGCTGTGAAGTGCACAGCAGCAGGGGCACCATTCACATGCAGACTGTGTTAATGTTGTCCTTCTGGAATTATATGGCTCTCTTATGAAGGGCTGAAAGAAAATTTTAGCAATGGAATAGTAAGGAAAAATACTGTTTTAAACATAGTTTGCGATGCTTTAACTTAAAGTTCACATTGGGACCCAGCAGATACTTTCCTTTCAGTTTTTTCTGACATAAATTCTGTTTGTTCTCAAAACAGTATATAAGGAAACCTTGCTTCATAAGCAGATATTTCATGTTTCTGTGAAGAAATGGAAAGTAAAATCAAGAAGAAGAGAGTTAAAACAGAAGATGGAAGGGTCAAGGAGCTATGTCATTTGAGTGGATAGGGAGACCTCTCTGAGCCTTTTATCATCCATCTGTGAAATGGGATGCTTAAACTAGGAAGTCTCCAACACCACGTCTGTATACATTGTTCAAAGAAACATAGAATGTAGAGCAGTCTATTGCAGAGGTTTCTGTCTTACCTGACAAATACTACATAAAACAAGAGGGGTAGTTCTGTGACAGAAGCATTGGTCTGTGAGTCAGAAAAGCTGGATTCTAATGCTGGCTCTGCTACTAATACAGCCTTGAAGTCAGTTATTTCCTTGTCCTGAGTGAGCCTCAGTTTACCTATTCCTGAGTCTCAGTTTATCCACCTATGAAAAGAACATTTAAAAAAGAACATCAAGTGTTCTACAAGATTGTTCCTACTCTTAATATTCTCTGATTCTAGAATTTAAACATGATGGGTGTTTTTGCCCTAAAACAAAGACAAATATCTGAGTGTCATTGAATCTCCACACTGGAGTCAGACTTAATGGGAAAAGCTCATCAAGGAAGAAGCATAAGGACATATGTAGTCTTTTCACTTAGTCCATCCCGTATGTCACAATCTATGAAATGTGAGCTAAGCTATTCAACTCTTCAGATATGATCTAATATATACAGAAAACTGAAACACATGCCACCCTTCTGTTAGGCTTTTTGAATCATAAATCTACCTGTAGGAAGATTTCTTTTGCCAGTGGTCAATTTAATTTCACCTGTTTTCATTATTTACCAAGCTTCTGTTGATTGGCTAATAGTCATCTTCAAAAATATGTTTTGTATATTTGAAATTTGCTAGGAGAATAGATCTTAAGTGTTCTCACCACCAAGTAAAAAAGGTAACTGTTTGAGGTGATGAATGGGTTAATTAACTTGACTGTGGTGGTGATTTCACACTTTATCAAAACATCACAGTGTATAATGTAAATACATACAATTTTTGTATGTCAGTTATAGCTCAGTACAGCCAGGGAAAAACAAAAAGCATCTCCTGTGCATATTGAGCATTTATGGTCACTGTGAGTTTTAAAGAAAAGAAAAAGATAATAGGCCTGATCTCATAGAGCTTCTGATTGATCCCAGCAGGTATGGGAAGTAGGTAATTGGAGAGGTAAGTTTAAAAACTAAACTGTAAACCTAGCTGCAGCATTGCTGTGGGTGCTAAACATGTCGTGTAAAGGAACATGAGCCATATTCTATAAATGAACACATAAAGCATATTTATTAAGTACTTGTAGGTTGAATGAATGTGCCTAGGAAATATCCACCTGCAACAAAGGCAGCCAATGAACAAACTTATCAGTCACAGTCTCAGCTATTAGTGGAGAAAAGTAATAATAACATTAGCCTCTCTTGAGAATTTCTAAACATAGTCCTGCTTTCTTGTAGTTTGGATTTTGAAACCATATTACATATTCTGTGGTAACTCTGAAAGGAGATATAAATAAAAGTAATTCCAGTGATAGCACCTTCTGGAAGCCAGCCAGAACAAATGGGAATTCTCTTGGTGTGAAAGCATCTTCAACCAAAGGATCTCAGGATACCTATGGATTAACTTTCATGTCTCAATGAAAAGTTACCAAACCATCCAGGAAGTGAGCTATGATAGTGGGAGTCAGCAAGAGAGAAGAGAGAACAGAAAGAGGTGGGGGAGAGGAAGGGGAGAGAGAGCTTGGTTTAGACCACCAAGAACTTTAGCTGTTGGAATTATCAGATACTGAGTGAACCATTTAGGATTCTCATAGGGTAGCTCAGCGGTAAAGAATCCACCTGCCAATGCTGGAGGTGTGGGTTTGATCCTTGGGTTGGGAAGATCCCATGGAGAGGGAAATGGCAACCCACTCCAGTATTCTTGCTTGGGAAATCCCATGGACAGAGGAGCCTGGTGGGCTACAGTCCAGGCGGTACAAAGAGTCAGACGTGACTTAGGACTAAACAGCAAGAGAATTCTCATTATCTATCAATGTTTAATAAATTACCCCGGAATTTAGAGGCATAAAACAACTATTGCTATGCTTGTGAAGTCTGTGGGTCAGGAATTCAGGGTCCTGGGGAAATGGTTTGTGTCCACTCCACATTGTCAGTGTCCGTGACTGGAAGGCTGGAGCGCCTCAGCTGCAGGCTGCCGCAGCACTTAAGAAGCTCTTGCACTCACATTTCTGGTGGTTCCTGCTGGCTGTGACTGAGACCTTAGCTGGAGTTGCCAGCCAGGACATCCAAACGTGGCCTCACCTCCTGGCCTTGGCTTCCTCACAGCACGATGGCTGATTTCCAGAGCTCTCTCCATCTGTGGAGAGAGCCAGACAGAAGCCATATCAACATTTCTCAACTAGCTCCGAGACTTGACGTGTGACTTCCACAGCCTTATTTGTCAAGGAAATCTCAAAGACTGGCCAGGCTTGAGGGAAAGGAAAAAGACCTCACCTCTTGATGAGGGTATTCAGGATTCTGAGGGGGAATTTGGCAGTGGAAATATCATTGCAGCCATTTTCTAAAATCTGTCAGATGAGGTAAAAATATTTGAACAAATGAGAGAAGAATATGATGAAGGGAGATCATGAGATAATAGATTATTCAGAGTGACCAGTTAGATTTGAAGGAAGAACAAGCTAGAACTTACAGAATTATACAATATGTAATCATTGGAATTTGAAACTCCATAGATGGATTAAATAGCAGATTTAATCTTTTTAAAAGAGTTAATGTACTAGAACATGGAGCTTAAGAAAGTACCTGGAATATGTTATGAAGAAATAAGAAGGTGAACAATTTGAAAGTGATTGAGACATAGAAGGTTGTTTGAGAGGGCCTAATATGCTCATTGGAAGGACTGATGCTGAAACTGAAACTCCAGTACTTTGGCCACCTCATGCGAAGAGTTGACTCATTGGAAAAGACCCTGATGCTGGGAGGGATTGGGGGCAGGAGGAGAAGGGGATGACAGAGGATGAGATGGCTGGATGGCATCACCAACTCAATGAACTTGAATTTGAGTAAACTCCAGGAGTTGGTGATGGACAGGAAGGCCTGGCATGCTGTGATTCATGGGTTCGCAAAGACTCAGACACGACTGAGTGACTGAACTGAACTGAACTGAATAGGTATAAGGGGGGAGCTCAGGAAGAAAGAATAGAGACAATAAACAGGAAGAAATATTTGAAGACTTAAATTCTCAGAATATTTTCCAGGATGTAAGAAAGATGTGAACATTCAGATTCTGGGAGTACTGTGAGTCTGAAGAAAGAGTAAAAAGGAACACCAAACCTGAATATGCAAACAATGACCTTGCCCATAATGAGATAATCTTTCTTTAAATTGGAGGATAATTGCTTTACAGTGTTGTGGTGGTCTCTACCGTGCATAAACTCGAATCAGGCATAGTTATACATCTGTATCCCCTCCATCTTGAACCTCCCTTCCGTGCCACCCCTCTAGGTTGTTACAGAGCCGCAGGTCGGGTGCTCTGTGTTATAAAGCAGCTTCCTGCTAGTTATCTATTTTACACGATAGTGTATATATGTCAATGCTACTTTCTCAATTTGCCCACCCTCTCCTTCCCCTGCTGTGTCGACAAGTCCATCCTTTATGTCTACATCTTCTTGCTGCAGTGAACATTGGGATACATGTGTCTTCTTGAATTGTGCCTTTTTTAGGGTATATGCAGGCAGAGGAAACGGTTACTTATAAAGGAGCAGCACTTAATATGACTGTTGGCTTCTCTATAGCCACTACATCATTCAGGAGGCAGTGAAATAATGTCTTTAAAATGTTGATAGTTGATAACTGTCAACTTAGAATTATGAATCCAGTGAAACCATCTTTATAAAGCATGAGAGCAAAATAAAAACATTTTCAGATTTTTTTTTAATAGAGTACTCTCATTTACAAAATTTCTAAAAGATATGCTTCAGGAAAAAGAAAATTTTCCCAGAAGAAAGGTCTTAAATGTAAGAAGGAATAATCATCAAAGAAATTGGCAAACAATATTCTGTATTAAACATTATACGTGCATACTAGGTCTCTTCAGTCATGTCTGACTCTGTGCAACCCTATGACTGTAGCCCGCCAGGCTCCTCTGTCCATGGGATTCTCCAGACAAGAATACTGGAGTGGTTTGCCTTGGCCTCTTCCAGGGGATCTTTCTGACCCAGGGATTCAACCCGCATCTCTTGCAGTTCCTGCATTGGCAGGCAAGGTCTTTACCACTAGCGGCACCTGGAAAGTCCCATTAAACAGTATAATGTCTAATTTGTCAGGTCAGATGAAAACAAAACTAAAAAAATATGCTGGACAATAGTAGCATTTAAGTTGGGAGGAGTTGAACAAAATCAAAGTCTTCTAACTCCCTTACAGTGTTTGAGAGGAAGGAAAATACATCAGTCAACTTAGACATTGTCAAGATAAATAGGCATGGCAAACTTTTAAGGACACCATTAAAAGAATAGAAATAGGACTCCCCGGTGGTTCAGCAGTAAAGAATCCACCTGCAATGCAGGAGATGTGGGTTAGATCCCTGAATTGGGAAGATCCCCTGGAATAGGAAATGACAACCCAATCCAGTATTCCTGCCTGGGAAATCCCTTGGACAGAGGAGTCTGTTAGGCTACAGATCCATGGGGTTGCAAAGAATCAGACATGACTGAGCATGCATACACACACAGTCCAAACAAGCAGAGCAACAACAACCCAAAAAAAAAAAAAAAAAAAAAAAAAAAAAAAAAAAAAAAAAAAAAAACACTGTTGTAATTAGAAAAAGGCAATAAAAAATGGGCATGGAGAAGTTGGATGAATAGGAAAAGATAGGAATAAGTACAAATATCAGTAAGCACGGTAAATGTCAGTAGATCGAGATTACTATACGTTTAATGCAAAAGTCAGAAAAGGATAACATGAGAAAGGAAAATTACTGCGTCAACTTTATGCTCATCAACATGATTATAAAGTCATGGCTTGGTGGGAGGGATGGCAACCATGAAAGCTGAAAAGAGCACAGTGCCTGCACCTGTCACCCTTGCTTTCTGGATGCCTCCCAAGAACAAGATCGTGCCTTCTTCTGGTTTATTTCTTGGGTGGAGGTTGGCAGGAGGTCTTTATTGATATCAATTCATTTGAGGCTGTCTCTTAATATTCATGACCTGAGGCTGCCACACAATGCCTGTGTTATACAACAGCACCTCTTTTACAACCCAAGATGTCATAGTCTGATGAGTAATGAGGTGCCTGTGGGAGTTATTGAAAGATTAACTGTAGACTCTTAACCAATCCAAGAGTTGCAGGAGATGAGGCACCATCATAAAGAATTTATCAAAGTCATCCGTCTCTGTTGCTGTGGACAGATTACATTCTCATTCTGTCTCTGAAAGTTTATAACCAGTCTCTGAGTAGTTACAAATGTATTATTAATAATCCTTAGAAAAGCAGTACATTTTGGTATGGTTTATGTGTTGCTTAAGTCCAGAAATTTTCAACAATTAGATCTGACCTCATAATATCACTGCCTCTTGCACTTTCCTGGTGGTCCAGCAGTTAAAACTACCTGCTTCCAATGTGGGGGGCATGGGTTTGATCCCTAGTTGGGGAAGTTCTATATGTTGAGTTGTGCAACCAAAAAAAATAAAAACTTTGACCCTCCTGAAACAAAACCTAAAGCAGTATAGTATCTCTCCCTTTGAGTGCCGAGGATCTGCCTGCCATCTGTTCAGTGGCATGTTGAAGTGTGAGCTGGCAAATTAGGTTCAAGTTACAAGCATGGATTTACCTCTCCACCCTCCCTTCTCTGAGAGCTGTCAGTGAGGAAAGGATGAATGAAAAGGGATGCAAACCATCCATGGGACTAGACTGGACATCTGAACTGGGCAGAATAGAGGCTGCTTAGCTCCTTAGTTGTCAACTTTGCTCAACTCCTGGTGATGAAGGAAAGTGCAAAGACTTTTCTTCCAGGCACTGATCTACTTAGTGCATAGCCCTGAGCTCTGCTTGTTGTGAAGCCAGAGACCGGGTAATCTTTACTAGAGGAAAGGATCTCCCCAGCATGAAAGGTTCCAAGAGGAGTTGTTTCATGTGTTTCCTTCAGGGACCTTGTGGGAAGGGTAGGACAGGAATCAGATGCCCCTGAGTCCCATACTGAGAATACCGTCCAGACCCCACCCTTGTCTCCATCCAGCTATGAGAGGGCAGTTTGTGAAGGCAGGAAAACATACTAGGTGTTTCCCCAGAAACTGGTTTGGAAGGCCATGTGGTGGGTCCAGGCCAGGGGGAGCGGGCTGCTGGGCCCTGCCCCCTCTTGGTAAGAGTAGATGAACTAGTGGCAGAGTCCAGAGGAGTCCCTCCGGTACACATGTGCCACATCCTTGTTTCTGGGGCCACTGTCCATCCCACCTCCCATTCCCTGCAGCTCAGGGGGGCAGGGGTGTAGCCGCACTAGGCCTGGCAGCACTCACACTCTCCAGCATGGCCAGTCACTGCTGCATTGTCCATCCTCGTCAGCCCTGCCCCTTGGTGGTCCCTTCCTCAATTGTTTGAGGAAAGGACCTCCTCATCCAGAGTGGTAGGTCAAGGGGGCAGGGGTGAGGCAGCGAGAGAAACAGAGAGAACAAGGAATTGGAAAACACCTTCTCATGCTGT